ATTACCGGAAAGGTCTATTTTTACTTCCAAAACAATTATAGAATCATACAAGTCATGTCCAATCTAGATCGTAATAATTCTTCGCAATCAAGAAAGATATTCCATATACCTTGTATATTCCCCAAGCTAGCGCGGCCAGATCTAAACATACTGTAACAATAGCCAGAAAATTCAGTGGAGACATGCGATCATTTTCTTTGAAAAGATTCTTTATTGCAGGAGTTATGAACACTGCGTTGGTGTAAAGAATTAACTCAGTAGAGGATAGGTCTGGCAAAGTCATGACGGCGATGGCGAAATAACATATGCCAAATACTTCTAACAACGAAACCAGTATGCCCTGTAAAATCAATTAAAAATATGTTGTAATATCTATTTAAAAGTTAAAATCATGTTGCCTTGTTGGCTCGGCTGCTTAAGCCTGGTTTCCAATTGGTCGTAACTGTCGCAAACATGTTGCAACTGTCGTCAGAGTAATTATGTTCGCAACCAAATGGAAACATGACGAAAAGTCTTGTCGCGACACGCTAACAGTTCACAACAAGTTACAACAGTGTCGTTGAGATAGACTCGAGTTATACACTGTCAGTATCTCGACGACAGTTGCGACGTGTCGTGACGGTTATTTTTTAATGGAAACATGACACCGTGGCAACAGTTTGCGATAATCAGGGGGGAGGGGAACAAAGGTCCTCTTTTTAAAATTGCCGCCAGCTGCTTGTACGATCCCTTGACGACAAACACTTCACGACACGTTCACGACACATTGGTGACAGTTACAACCATATGGAAACTGCAGGCTTTAAAGCTAGGGTACAGAAGTGGTCTAGAAATCCCAAGATGCAAGTTCAAATCCCACTCGAGTTAACAGATTTCTTGTTGCTCTTTGCAATGTCAAAATTAAGACTAAATAGTATAATTTCGTATCTCTGGGAGACATTCTGGAACAGTATTATTTTTTTAAACATTTGCCACATTTCCATCGAGTTGTCAACTTGCCTGGATATTTTGGAAAAAGTGATATGTGAAAAAAACGAGCCTGTATGGACTGAAGAACAAGTATTTGCATGAATGTCTGCCTCCAACTCCCTTGCTCGCAACCAACTCCCGCTCCTGGACTTGCTACAAGTCGAGAGACGTGTGAGCGAATAAAACGAACCTCGCAGCTAAATTATATATAGCATTATAGGAGTTGACTTGTAGTAAGTCTACTACATGCCCTTCCCGCTACATATACATAATTTTATATAAGGACTATCCCAGCCTCTTGGAAGGAGAATGCTGGAAACATAGCGTTCTGTTTATAATATATAATTCCCAATTTCAAGCCTGAAACAAACCAGTCCTATAAAGGCTATGCAGCTAGTCATAGGAACACTGGAATAGTCCTTCAAAAATGTGTCACTGATCCGCTATAATTATAATTCTGGCTGTCTGCATGTTGACGCAGGTCAAACAGCTTTTAGGTCCTCTAACTAATCCAATGAGTGGCAGCATGCACTATCCCCTTGATGAGTAAAATTCTCTGATGTTACAAAGTAAAATAAGGTTAAAGGAATTTTAGTTCCTCAGGTTAGGACTGGTACTGTAAGTCAAGAAATGAGTGTTGAAATAGGGAGACAGATGCAAAACTCTATATCTTGTACTGTATGAGGTACTGCTATCGAGAGCTGTGGAACTGGACGTGAGGCACTTAGGGCAGGTGACGACCTCCACTTTTTTCAAAATGGAAAATGTGGATCGATCCCACTTCTGGGAATAGAAATGCCCTCTTGTCTGGTTTCAAAGTGCCCTTTTCAAATGATAAGCAACTTTCTGATGTACTATAAAGCCTTTAGATTAGGAAAAACTGTAGGACAGCATGGTGTTTATACAAATTATTCCCAGACAGCATACATTTATGTCCCTATAGCTGGACCCCAAACAATTCTTCTTTGCAAACACTGGGTTAACCCTGTTGCAACATGACCTTTCTGATGTTACTTTCATATTTCTGGGCACAACAACATGTAGAGTACCAAATTTAGGAGGATTATAATTAGGCGCAGTATATAAAATTTTATAAGTTTTTGAAGTTTATCACTCTTCCAGAAGAAGAATACCGGTACCCTAAAATCAATTTTTGATATTAAGCTGTATTTACAGCAATTATAATCAATAGTAAATCAATAACAATTTGACATTTGTTTACGTACAGTTATTACTATATTGATTAGAGCTGTGCATTTAACCGAAAAATTCGGTTCTTCTGGTACTTTTTTTAGCACCGAAAAATTATTACGCAAAAGAACCGTTAGTTTCAGCTTTAATTTCCTGTTTAACACCCACGCCCAACTGATTGCAGGTTGAAATGTTTGGAAAATAACAAGATTGTGCTCTTAATGTGCTTTTTAGTTGATATTGTGCTCTTGCTTTAAATTTTTTTAAAAAGAAATATTTTATGTTCATAAATAAATAAATTCCAATTGCAATGTTCATTTAAAATATTCAGAGATTTATACAAACTTACAAATTTAAGGCATAAATTCATCTATTTAGTAAAAATGCTCGAAACATACATAAATGAGTTCATACATTTGTACTGTAAATAAGTTCTTCTTTTTTTGAAAATAACCGAAACGGAACCGAACCGAGGCTTTTCTGTTCCAAACAAACCTGAACCGAGATAAAATTTTTGGAAACGCACAGCTCTAATATTGATTAATGTCCACTATAAATGGTGAAAAATGAACCAGATCACAAGAGGTGTGTTACAATAGACAATTCCCATTATAGACTAATTTTAAAACTAGGCAAGGAGATGCAAATAAATTACCACAGCTAGAAAGAGCATACTAAAATTAGTAAAATTACAAACTTTGGTTGCGAAATGTTGTAAAATGTGGAAAATATAGCCTTGCAAAGTTTGCAAATTTTGTATACTTTTGTATTGCGTGTGACATTTTCGGCCTAAATGTGGTAGGAATGTGGTAGGAATTTCCGCAAGCAATACAAAAGTATACACAATTTGCGAACTTTGCAAGGCTATATTTTCCTCATTTTACAACATTTCGCAACCAAACTTTGTAATTTTACTAATTTTAGTATGCTCTTTCTAGCTGTGGTGATTTATTTGAGTTTCCTTACCCAATTTTAAAATTAGTCTATAATGGGAATTGTCTATTAACCCTCTGATGAATAATTGACATGGAATGACCCTGCAGTATAACACTAATACTTTATGCAGAGGCGTAGCCAGGATTTTTGGTCAGGGGGGCCAGCAAAAACCTAGGTGGGGTTAACAACTTTCCTCACCACAACATTTTAAATCCTCCCGTCTACAACTTTTTTGGTAAAAAATTTCAATAACATTACAATTGCTTTCGTAGCACTTTTCCCCATTTCCGTATCACTTTTTACGATGCTTCACCACAAAGATTCCGACAACATTGAGTCTGCCAAGCCCGCGTTAAAAATTCACTGGTAAAAAAACCAGAATGGTTTAAACTTCATCTAACCCTCATTTAATATATATTGAAATAATTAGGGTTAGAAAAGATACGTGTTTCAAGCTGTGTGCCGCAAATAAGCAAACAAGATTTTAAATTTCACACCGATGCGCAGCAAGCATATATATTGTACAGAATTTTTGCATTATTGACAGCATGAAGCTATATAATCAAGGATTCCCTTTTTTATACAATACATTTTATCAGGGGGGGCAAACTTTTGCCAGGGGGGGGGCGGCCCCAGCCCTGGCTACGCCTCTGACTTTATGGACCCTCTGCTATTTAATTTTTGTTAATTGCCTTTCCATATTAAAATTATGGTTAATTCAAACTATTTGCCATGTTCTAATCTGAGGCCCAGGACAGTTTTCTGTCTCAAGGCAAGTGATTGTCAACTAAAGCCGTGTTTACACTACGAGCCTAAGCCTGGCCTAGGCCTAGCTTTGGACTAGATTTTTGTAGTGTAAATGCACTTTGGCCTGTTCTAGGCTAGGAAATGTAGGCCACCTGTTCTGATGGGTCCAGATTTCCTGGCCTAGGCCAGGCTGAAGTGCATTTACACTACAAAAATCTAGTCCATTTAGCTAGGCCTAGGCCAGGCTTAGGCTCGTAGTGTAAACACGGCTTAAGGCTATTTCACACAAGGTCTCTGTCTTACAATTAAAGGACTTTTTCATTACCATTACCATATAGTTGTTATGCTTAGTAGCCTACTTTTATATGTAAATTTTATAAAACTCAATTCTGAACATATTGTAAGTTACTCTTCATAATATCCAATCATACTCCCCCATGGAGGTAATATACATATAATTTGGAAACACTACCTGTTTTGTGGACCCGAGACTGCCAATTTTTCGATGAGACGGCCCAACAAATCCCAATCAACAATTTTATTATATATGGCCAATGAAAATTGATATCATGTTTCTCGTCCCTGCCCGCATGGGATTTATCTGCCGCACGTAAATTTTTCATTATTCATTATTTTTGAAAAATAGGCTTAAAAAACACAAAATTCATCTCCAGATCAAAGTCTTATTGCTGCATTCCGCAAGCGCAACTCAAATTGTATTTTTCTAAAGATATTACTCGCCAGAATGCCTCTATTTTTCATGTCAGCCCTGGTACACAGCCAGAAACGCGCAAGTCGGAACAGATCTGCAACAGATCTGTTAAATCCTGTTGTCAACAAGCCGATATCTGGATGCGTTCGCTCGCCTTGTACCTGTCTGTTCTGACAGACCTGCAACGGCCTGTCAACAGGTCTGTTACAAGCTGTTGTGACAGAGCTGCAGCAATGCTGTTTTCAACAACTTGCGACAGACCTGTTGCAAACCGAGGAAAGCGCCTTATGAAGCTTGTGTATCCACTATTTTGAACAAAAAACGGCCAAACAGGTTGCCATATTTCGGTTGTAGTGTTTCGTGAAATAGAAGTTTGAAATATAAAGTTTTATAAACAAATTTGCGAAATAATTTTTATATATGAATATAAAGTTTTATAAACAAACTTGCGAGATAATTTTTGAGCAAAACAGCCGAAAAAATACGACAAATTCAAGAACAATATCGTAAACAATTTTCAAAATTAATTGTCTTTAAGTACGACCGAAATATGACAACCTACTTGCATATTTTTCTTCAAAACAGTACATACCATAACACAAAGCTTCAATATAAAGGCGTCTTCCTCGCTCGCAGATTTCACTTGAAATTGGAAAGAAATTATATAACGAATTTCATGTTCATATCAACAATGACGAACGTTGCAGTTAACACTCGGTTGTTCATGTATTGTTCATTTCTTAAGCTCTAGTAGATCTTGTATTCTCATTGCCACAGTTTCTTCAAAAATCAAAACAGCTTTGAACTTGTTTGATTTTGTTTGAGGCAGTTGTTGAAATTTTGTTTGGCTCAAACTTGAAAAACAACTAAACATGATTACGTGATTGATATGTTTGTAATATTTTGCCCAATTGCAACGAGGAATGATGACGTGTGCACATGCGTTTATCCAATCAGATTAAAGAAATATAGCGATAGCACACGTCAGCAAATTGGAATTTGGATTTTGGAAATCGGAACTTTTTAAAAAAAAATAAAACAGCGGCTTTTGCATTTTATAATAATCAGAAAATAGATACTATGGACTATAATCTCTCCTATGTGTATTAATATTGCCACCAATGACATTGATTAAATGAGAAAGTGAAGCCGGAAGTGTCCATTTCGTGCGATTTTATATCTCTTTACTCACATTTTCGGTTTGTTTCCCAACAACAGGCTTGTTGAAACTTGTTGTGACAGGACAAAAATTGTTTGTTGTGGACAGGTTTGTCGCAGGTCTGATAACAAGCTTGCTGCAGACTTGACAAAAACAACTCGCGACAGGTCTGTTGGAACAGGTTGGAACAGACCTGTTGATTTCAACAGACTTGCTGCAAATTGTTCTATCAGACCTGTTATCTCTTGTTAGTAACAGGTTTGTAGCGGGTTGTTTCAACAAGTCGCTATGGCTCTGTTGTCAACAGCTTGCGACAGACCTGTTACCGCAAGCCTGTTACCGCCTGACGAAACCAACAGACCTGTCGCGACTTGTTGACAACTTGCCGCAAGCCGGTAAAATCAACAGCTTGCGACAGGCCTGTGAGATTTCTGGCTGTGTATGTGTAGAAATATACTGTAGTCTGTAGACTGCAGTGTAGGACGTATTAAATTAAAATGAATTATACACCAATTTTTAATACTTCAGATTTTTATGGGGGTTTTTACTGGGTCAAGGAAATTGTTGACAAGCAGAATTCAAATACAAAAATAATGAAAAATGAAAAATGAAAAAATCCCGCTCCAAATTTTTGAAAATTGTGGACGAGAAACATGATATCAATTTTCATTGGCCTATCAAGTGTCAAAGGGAAAAAACAACAAAATGAAATGGGGAAACTTCCATATTTTTTTTTCTTTATAACCAGACAACTTTTTTATTCACTGGTAAATAACAGTAATGTCCACCACTCACTGTTATCAGGAGACATGACTTTGTCAAATTTCATGACTTTCATGTGATACACTCTCATCCAATGAGCCCACCTCATGGTCCTCCTAATACATTCCACTTTACTAAATTACCAGACAGCAGAATTACTTACTCCGTGGAAAGAAAGGGGGCTTTATATATTAATACATTATTTACAGTATAGGCAAAAAGGTGCAATGATCGTCCCCCACATGCATATAGTTAGCCACTTCACAAAAACACAGTCTAATTAACAAGCTAGTTTAGTAGTTTTATACCCACATACATGTATTTATATCAATTTCTGATTGTACATGTATGCATGGCATTAAATGCAAATATTTATACAGACCCATGCTTCGATCCCTAGGATATTGGGGGAAGATATTTACATATTGTAGATAAAATTTGTCTTTCACCAAAATACGGAAATAGTGTGTGTTTATTAAATACTTACAACACATATTGCAATAGGTGTTGGCCAGTCATGTCCAGGCACTATTCCGTGTAACCACAGACAGCGCGCAAATTCCACCAAATACGGTACCATAACGACAATAACCAGAGCAAGAAACATGTCAGCATCATTAGAATGAGAAACCTTTGCTTTAGGTATTGCAATCAACGCCATTCTGCTTGCAACAGCGCCACATAATATCAATATTGCGAGCACTGCAGTAAATAACCATTTACAAACGCTTGCGCCCCAATGTGGCCACAGAAACGGAATTTCAACATCCAGACGCGATTTTTGAGACGCAGAAAGTTTGAAACCATGAGACGAGGACGCCATATAAGCTAGATTTGTTGATTTTGTTTCTTCTTGTGCAAAAGAAAATAGGAAATCTGCACTTACATTACAATCTTACATTTCGCGGAAACAAGCGTGCATGCACGTGATCGGTGATCCACTGGCATGCACGTGATCTAAGAGTGATCCAGACGGGTGTTTGACCCACTGAACTGTTTGACCAGGACACAGAATAGGAAGTTATAGCAGAAGCGTAACTCTAGTCGTTTCCCTTAAGGAGGCTCCCTACAGTTCCGTGCGGGATGTTCGCGGGACAAGTACGTGAACTATCCCACGCAACTGCATGATCAAAACAAAACAAAAATTGAC